ATATAAATGCTTGAAATGTGGAAGGGATTTTAGATGGAATAATGTTTTTGCTTTGTATAAAAGAATGCATGTAGGGGAGAAGCCACAGAAATGCAGAGTGAGGAATTACATTTGCTCGGCGCAGATAACTTACTTCCCATCAGAAGTGTTAGATACTTGTTCTAACTACAAGTTCTTTCCACCAAGGTCCTCTGTTCCGGCAAGAGAGGTTTAATCCTATTGGTCGAAGGGTCTGACAGCTCCCTATAAAGGGCTGCTGTCAGACTTAACCTTTGCTGGATTGTTCTCACTTGTTGTACTTAATAAAGAGATGTTGTTACCGTTAAGCTATGTGTGCCTATCCATTCACATGGGCAAAACCATAATTACATGGAGTATGTAACTAAGTTAAAGAATCTGAAAGAGAATAGTGAATTTTGCTAATATAAATGAGGATAGTCTATGAATAATACGTGCAAATAGAAACATTTTCCACACCAAAGAAAAAAAAGTATAGATAGTTAAATTGATTCCTTTATTAAAATAAATTAAAATATCTAATTTTGTTTTTATTGGGAAACTGCTTCTGGCTTTTGTGCTTATGATGGGAAAATGAAATTTTGACTTTGTGCCGATTAGATAGATTTGTTACAGAAATGGCTAGTATATATTAATAGTATAAAAGAGAAAAGTTCAGGTTGTAGTAGTATTTTCTAGTGTGCTAAAGAGGAAGTCGACGTGTTTTTTTCTTGTTTCCTTTCTACCCCAAGCGTTTTTTTCCAACTTCTCCCTCCCTTAGTTCCCATTTTTATTTTCCTTTGTATTTTATATTCTGAAAAACTAATGAAAAATTTTGATTTTCAAAAAAGAAAAGGGAGTTTTGAATATCTGGGACCAGAAATAAGTTTGGGTCAATTAGAAATAAGGTTGGGACAATAACTGGAGGCATATACTTACATCAAACTGAACAGCAAAAGGCAGACAATAAAGAGACTCCATAAAACAGGAGGATAATAAGACACCTTTTTAGAGGACACAACAACCTCCATGTCCATGGACCTCCTATAAAAACTTGTATTGGTAACTGCATTGCACACAACATCCACCAGGGGGCACTCTTCACCAAGGAAATATCAGGTGCTTCTGGTTGCCTTAAATTCTACAGATGCCTTTAGTTTTCTATTCATTTCCCTATGAGGTAAATCCCCTGCTCAGCTCTTAATAGATTTTTGTTCATTTTCCCCCTCACAGACTTGATATTTATATTCATTTGTTACTATTTGACTTCATTTTGCAATTCCACTTTTTCTCATGTGACAGAAGAGAAGCTATTTTCCCCTCGTGAGGTAAAAAAAAAGTTGTGGGGTAAAAAAGGGTTGTGAGGTAAAAAAACAATAGCCAGTTTTGAGTTTTTTCTTTAATTTGGAACTGGTTTTCCTTCGATATTTCTTTTTCTTCAGCATTATTTCCTTTGTCAGAAACTGCCACCTGGTCTTTTCAGTTATTCTTGAGCCCCCAAAGGTGAGATTTGGAAAAGAGCAGCTGTGCATATTGAACTAGAGAACTAAAAACCTATAGAAATCTCCATTTTCCCGACAGGAACATTTTCCCTCCCTCACGGAGGTGCGCTGCTTCTCTCTGACAGACAGTCACTGAGAAGTCCGTTTGCTGCTACTCTCAAGCCCATCATCCCTGCCCTCAGTCTCCCCTCATGGTGCGCTCCTTCCCGCCCTTGCAGGGTCCCTGTCACATTGTGCAGAATTCTCCAGGGGGCGCTCTCCGCAAAAGGAAGGTGAACATGAGGCGCTTCCCGATTGGTCGACTGTAGGGCGAATGTCATAGCTGGCTTTCCAAAGGAGGCGTGGCATCACAAACTTGCCACTCTAGGACAGCTGCATGGCTGCATAAAGAACTCTCTGACAAATTTTAAGACAAAAAAGGCAAGTATAAAAAGTGGGAAGAGGGACATATATATTCATAAAGCAGAATATCAGCAAATAGCCCGAGCCTGCAAAGATGAAGTAAGGAAAGCTAAGGCTCACAGTGAACAAAGGCTTGCGACAAAAAATAAAAAATAACAAAAACTTCTTTCATCATGTTAAAAAAACAAGGGAAAAAGTCAAGGAAATAATTGGTCCATTGCTGGGAGAAAGTGGCAAGAAAGTGACAAGCAACAGGGAGAAAGCAGAACTATTTAACTCATTTTTTGCATCTGTCTTTACACAAAGGGATAAAACAGTCCAACCTATCAAAAAGAGCACCACAAAAAACAGGAACACAAGTTAAGATAGGGAAGAAAATGGTAAGTGAGCACCTGTCTACCCTAGACAAATTCAAATCACCAGGACCAGGTGGATTACAGCCCAAGGTTCTGAAGGAACTGACTGACGTCATCACAGAACCACTGAACTATATCTTTCAAAGAACCTGGAACACTGGGAAACTGCCAGAGGACTGGAAAAGTGCTGATGTAGTTCTCATCTTTAAAAAGTGTGGGGAAACAGATCCAGGAAACCACAGACTATCAGCTTGACCTCAACACCAGGGAAGATTCTGGGAAAAAATAATCAAGCAATGAATCAGCAAACACCAAGAAACATCAGGACAGAAATTCCAACTTGGGATCTCTTTCAGCCTCCTGGTGCAGGGCTTTGGGCAAAGGCTGGAGGGAAGCACTACTGGTGGCGAAGAGCCAGAGAGGTTTGTTCCTTGCACTCCCACTGGTCTTCCCTCTGCTTGGAAAGCCTATGCTCATAGTGTGCTGGGTGCAGTCAGGGTAATCTTAAAATGAGGCAACCAACGAGGATTTAAACTTATGAATTTGGCGGTCCGCAGGATTTAAAATTATGAACTTGGTGGCCCCTGAAGTCCAAAAGGTTGGGGAGCCGTGCCTTAGTTTATAATTCTAGCTCTGACACCTATCTGTCCTGTGCTTTGATTTACCTTTGGGGAATATGTAAAGGGGGAGAGCGATCTGTTTTTTCTTAGTTCTGAAGCCTCCGGAGGGAAGGGCCTGGGAACAGTCCCTTATCTCCTTCCCAGGATGACAGTCTTCCCCACACCTTCACACCTGTGGATTGTCTCATTCAACATCAGACTGAGGGGAAGGGTTTCCAACAGAATTGCCTAAGGGGACCTCGGAGTCTGCTGTGTTTTGTTTTGCAATCACTTCCTTTCAATAAAAGGTTCCTTTTGAAATGCTGCTCTTTCAAGCGTCCATGCTGATTTGGGGAGTAGAGGCAGGATCTTACACTCTACATATATTTATCTATCTATGTGTTATCTATCTCTAGCCATGTATTTGTTGATCTAGCAGTATTTATATATGCATCATCTATCCCTATCTAGATATTTGTCTGTCTTGTCTCTCTATTGATCTATCTAGCGATCATCTTTATCAATCTATCAATCTATCACCTATCTACCTATCGTCTATCATCTAATATCTCTATCCATATTTGTCTAACATTATTATCTATATGTAACTATCCATCCTATGTAATCTGTTCTGACCCCTCTCGTCCTACACCAAACCACGCCGAGACAAAGATACTTCACGGACTTTATTAACAGACGGACAGGACCGTGGCAGCAATCCAGCACAGTCCAAGCCTTGGCTGCAATCCAGCACAGACAAGACGTTGCCAGCAATCCAGCACAGACTAATCTTGGCAGCAATCCAGCCTGCCAAGCTAGCCCCAAAAGTTCTCCCAATTTAGTGCCTACGTTGACTCCTGCAAAAGGGCGTGTGCACAATCACTCCTTTTATAGTCTTGAGAGGAGCCTAATTACCACCAGCTGAGTGCAATTATCTCCTGTAACTGCGCAACTGTTCCTTCCGGCTATCATCTGTTCGGTGTCGGGCATCCAGGAATAACTCCCTTGGCTCCTCCCCACTGCTCCAATGTATGTCTTCAGGATCACACTCCCTTGTCTCCTCCCCACTAGTCCAAGGCTCAGGCGCCTCCTGGTGGCCAACCAGCCTCTTTGCGCCCTGCTTGAAGTTGGAACCCTGTCCAGGGTCCTCCACATCCTCCAGAGCCAACTCATAGGGCCCCTCGCTGTCGGAGTCTGGTGGCAGCCATAACAGTAATCTATCTCATCTATCTCTATCTCTCTATCTCTATCATACACAAACATACACACACTTTAGAAACTGCCGATCTTCCCAATGGACTCTGGGTGATGTTCAGACAAAATGTTAAAAACATAAAAATTAAACATATTTAACATAGAAGTGTAGGAAGTTAGCACCCACTCACCCCTAGAAAAATGAAATATATTTGGAAATATTAAAGGGGCAGAATATTTCCCCCTAAAAAGGAGGCAGAAACTCATTCCCCCCACCTTTGTGAATGGACTATTAAGGTCTGAGTCAGTCTATTCATGTTTTTAAGCAGGAAACAGACTCACTCTTAATAGCCCCCACCTTTGTCAATTTGTCACCATTAAGGCCTGGGCTACTCTACTCTACATAACAAAGAGCTACCCCCTTCAGGTGGAGCCATTTCATTGCACCAGCCACCACTCCAACAAACTTAGGACAAAGAGAAACCTGCCCCCCCCCCCGCGCCCCTAGGAGTCTGACAACCAATCAGGATACATTTCTTACACAGCAAGAGGAAACTAAGGTGGGGCCCAACAGAGGGCATAAAACCCAGGGACTCTCAGCATCTCTTCCCTTTTCTGCTCAGGAACTCAAGCCATATGATACTGTTCATCAATAAACCATCTTTCCAAGCAGCCACCATGTTTCCAGTGTCTTTCACCCCACTTGGAACTGAACCCAGAAGGATATTTCTTCCAACAAAGGCAAGGATCATAAAAATTTGACAATAAAAAAATAAAAATTAGGTGAGGGCCATTGGAACCCAACCAACCTCATGGTTACATACTCCTAAAAGTCCCAATCGAAACAGCAGAATATCACTTGTCGGGGTTTGGCCCTTTTTTAAAAACCTTCCCTAGATCATTACACACATACAAGAAATACAAAAGAATTAACCAAGAAAGTCTATATGGATTCTCACACAAATATATTTATTGAAAAATTAGGTCATTACTTTTCCTGAAGCTCTTTCCAAGTTACTCATATAATTTCTGTTTTGTATAGATCCTTTATGATATGTAAGGGAACTATTATGACTGGAGCCCTTTCCACACTCCATACATTTTTATACCTTCTCCCATGTGGATCCTTGTATGGGAAGTAAGATGACTGGTCTGAGTAAAGGTCTTTCCAAACTCCATGCTTATCTAAGGCTTTTTTACTGTGTGGATACTTTTATGTAACATCAGTGATCAATTTTTGTAGAAACCCTTTCCATATTCCACAAAATTATATGGCATCTCCTGTGTGAATCCTTTTATGATAAGTAAGACGATCACTCCGACTGAATCTCTTTCCACACTCCAAACATTCATATGGCTTCTCCCCGGTGTGGATTCTTTTATGGGAAATAAGCCCACTGGTCTGAGCAAAGGTCTTTCCACACTCCGTGCATTTATATGGCTTCTCCCCTGTGTGGACCCTGTTATGGATGGTAAGATCACAATTCCTCCGAAAGCCCTTTCCACATTGCACACATATAAATGCCTTCTGGCTTGTGTGGGTCATTTCATGGTGTATAAGGGAACGTTTTGTTTTCAGACACTTTCCACATTCTTTGCAACTATATGGCTTTTCACCTGTGTGGATCTTTTTATGGGAAATAAGACTACTGCTATGAGCAAAGTCCTTTCCACACTCTGCACATTTATATGGCTTCTCCCCGGTGTGGATCCTTTTATGGGAAGTAAGATTGTAGCTCTGAGCAAAGGTCTTTCCACACTCTGCGCATTTGTATGGCTTCTCCCCTGTGTGGATCCTTTTATGGGTAGTAAGTTTACTCTTTTGAATAAAGGCCTTCCCACACTCCATGCATTCATATGGCTTCTCCCCTGTATGGATCTTGTGATGGAAAGTGAGATAATTCTTCGCAGCAAAACTCTCTCCACACTCCATGCATTCATATGGCTTCTTCCCTGTATGGATCTTGTGATGGAAAGTGAGATAATTCTTCGCAGCAAAACTCTCTCCACACTCCATGCATTTATATGGTCTCTCGCCTGTATGGGTCCTTTTATGGTTCACAAGCTTACTCCTGTAAGCAAAGGCTTTCCCACACTCCATGCATTCATGGCTTCTCCCCTGTATGGATCTTGTGATGGAAAGTGAGATAATTCTTCGCAGCAAAACTCTCTCCACACTCCATGCATTTATATGGTCTCTCCC